CATCATCATCATCATCATGCATCACCATGCATTGCCATCATCATCATGCATCACAACCATCATCATCATGCATCACTGTAATCATCAGGCATCATCATTCTCATCGTTTCTCCGTTTGCTACAGGTACCAGTATCAAGATTCCGCAGCCAATTCCTAATAAAATCATTACTAAACTAATCAAACAAGCCGTTGGACAAAAGGATTATGAAACCTTGCGTTACCTGTTTCTCGAGAAGACTTGTCATCACCGAACAGGTAATTGTAAGAGTCTTATAAATATTTAGATATACGTCATGATTCGTTTGTGTTTTGTTCATTATTTTTTGCTAGTCTTTTCGGCGTTGCACCAAAGGAACTGGCCTTATTGTTGAGTCATTTCGTCTGCATGGAATATCAAACGCTATTTAAGTTTGAAGCAAACGGGAGATAATTCAAGCGAGAGAGAGAGAGAGAGAGAGAGAAAAGTACTTTTCATTTCCCTGGCCAAAAGAGTGAATTGTTTTGAATATTCTTGTAATCGACACCAATTTTTAAAATTTAAAAAGAGCGCGTTGTGAATGACTTTGTTATTGAAATAGGTTCGACGACGCACATGCGCACTCTGGCACACGATGTCAAAATGATATCCTTCATACCACTGGAGATGATTCTCGAATCCGATGTAAAAGACAAACCGATGCTCGTGATAGAGCTTATAGCTCACGGAGTATCCCCCAATGGTAGTCCTAACTGTAAAAGAACACCACTACAATTGGCTGTAGACGAGCGAGATTACAGGATGGCAGCGCTTCTTCTTAAGCATGGTGCTGATCCCTTGAAGATACTTAAACCAAACGAAGTGTTTGATCCATCTGAGGTAATTCACTAATTATTCATAAGAGTAAGTGCGTTGAGTGTGATGGTCTGGGTGATCTTCAAAAAGTCAAGGTAGGGCCTGCAATGAACCCCCTCGATTTTTCCTACGAACGTTCAGAATCCGAACGTTAATTTTGATTGATTGACAAGTTCAATACGCCAATCAGATGTCAGTGGAGTTGATTCAGATACTTTTTTCTTTCATTTGATTGGTTGAGAGTTTGCATATTAATTAGGGGCGGTAGGAAAAAATCGAGGGGGTTCATTACAGGCCCTACATTTCGTCCCTCTCCCCAGTCCCTCTTCCTCTCCCCAGTCCCTCTTCCTCTCCCCAGTCCCCATTCCTCTCCCCAGTCCCCCTTCCCTCTGGGCTGCTACGCAGGCTAATTGAATGCAGTAAAGGGTTTGAAACCCAGGATCCTATGATAGGTATTGAGTGCGATGGTCTGGTTGAGAGTAGTCTTCAGTAAGACGGTTATTGGTGACGACTGACATCAAGATTAACTGAACCAGGATTGAATAAAGTAAAGGACCGTAAGATAAGCATTGGGTGTGATCGTCCAGGTGAGTCGTGTGCAGTCTCACTTCAGAGAGACTGTGCAGTCTCACTTCAGAGAGACTATCGTCAACTGCCATTGCAACAACCTAAAGTCAAGTGAAAATGTTTTGGGAAAGTCACTGGAAATAATAGCCGGAAATCTATTAGCATATGAATGTAATGGCTCTTAATATAGTTTTCCTTTCTAGTAGCATTGAAAACGAGAATTCAGAGAAAGGATTTTTTTCTTTCTCGTCAAGAGTATCTTGAAAAGGCTTTACTTTCTAACAAACCTTTTTGTCTTACTACAGGGCTCTCAAGGTCTCCAGTGGATGCGGCTGGCTCGTAAGGCCAAGCATGCTAACTTCGAAAGAGCTGAAATGTTTTACAGTCTCGCACTTGAATTCCCAGAAGTAACAAAAAGCTCTCATGAGCAGCTGGAAGCGTTTAAAAGTTTGTCTGAAATCTGCTTCGAATCAAAAAAGTATGACGAGTGCCTTAGGTATGGCTATGAATGCCTGAGACTAGTACCGACTAAATCGGAGGTAAGTTTCTTGTCCCTCCCTCTTTCGAAAATCTACCATCCTCCCATTCCCTTCCTTTCTTCCTTCCTTCTTTCCACCTTGCTTGCTTGCTTCTTTCCTCCTTGCTTGATTGCCTTCCTTCCTTCTTTCCTCCTTGCTTGATTGC